ATGTGAATGTCAGAACTTTTTGAAACTTAGCTGTGCTTTTAGTACACTGATCACTGAGTGCCTGTTACCTGGCAGGCACTGGGCTGCCCAGTGAGGGTAGGTGAGGAACAGACACCAGCTCCCTCCTGGAGTGTGTGCTCTGCTGGAGGATAAAGACACTTCTCAAGCAATAGCCTAAATGCGTCTGACACCATGATTGTAATCATGGGGCTAGGATAATATGAGAATTCGTAGGAATGGGGATGCTGTCAGGGTTCATGAAAAGTCTTCCCAGTGATGAGAGAACTGCAAGTTGGGAGGAGGTAGAAATAACGAAAGAAATGGTTGTAGAGATGAATACATTGTGAGATGATCGTGTTGCAGGGTGACATCTTTGAGTGGTAAAAGGGATAGAGTTGGGGCTCCTGCTGCAAACCCTCAGTGATGCGTTGTAATGGTAAGAATTGGCTTGTGGTTTCCCAGTTTGCCTGATTGCTGCATCCACAAAACCATGGGTTCTGGGGTTAATTCCCATCCATTTTATTGCTGAATTTCTCAGAATGAGTCTTCGGTACATTGTTACTGAAAGGAGGTGCTAAACCCAATGTCTTCATTGCTTTTGAAGCAGATAGTCCAGTGTAGTGTTTCTCAAACATAAGCATCATTGTCTCCTAGAGGGCTCGTTAAAGGCAAATTGCTGGGACCCATCCCAGGAGTTTCTGAGTCAGCAGATCTGAGATGGGATCCATAACTCCCCAGTTGAAGTTGTCATTACTGGTTTTGGGATTACCCTTTTAGAACTACTGCCTTAGGGTATTTCTAGGTTATATGTGCACACATGACCTGCTTGAGTTTTGAGCTCAACGTTCTGTTTTATTCTTTCCTGTTCAGAGGCCAGCATCCACAGCTCTGGGTCTCATCATTTGCTTTTTGTCATGCAGTTGTGCTCTACTGATTTATACGTTATCTTTAAGTTTTCAGTTTCCCAGTCAATTCAAGCCAATGCATATTTATTGGGCATCTACCATGTGCTGTGGACTGTGAGGGACTTAAAGATTAATAACAACAACCATAAAAACTCATTGATATGCTGGGCATTATTTATTTCCCTATGGCCTCCAAATGCTTGGCTCATAATTCAAAACACTACAGCAACGTGAAGGCAGCAGATTGTTTGTCACTTCAGGGATCCACAGGTATATGGCTTCTCAAACGAAGATCTGGTAATTCCAGACTGCATGCAGCTATTCTTCCTTTAAAAACTGAGAAACCATGCATACAACATCTTTTCTTCCTTCTTCGTTTATACATTTGACAACTATGTACTGCCATCTTACTTTGAGAAGGTCATCATGCCAGATACCATCAGTGATAGAAACACAGATAAGATTCAACCTCTGATCCCAGGGAGAGCAGACTCTCAGTAAGGAAGACAAAATGATAAATGAAAATACCTATATTACAAGGCATGCACATCACACATTCCGTAAGTGGGTAAAAACACAGACCTTGGCAGCACAGAATCTTGTTTTCCATTTGTGTCATTTTGGACACTGCATTGGTTATCTATTGCTGCATAAAAAGTTCCTCTAAACCTTAGGTTAAAACTGCAAGCATTTATCATCTCATGCATTTCTATACATCAGGGATTCGCCAGTTCTAGTTTAGGGTCTCTCATGATGTTGCGGTCAAGTTGTAGACAGGGCTTGCAGTTTTATGAGGGTGTTGGAGAATCTCACTTACGTGTCACTTGGCAGGAGGCTTCAGTTCTTGGCCACGTGGGCTTCTCCCTAGCGCTAGACATGTGACATTAACAGCTGGCTTTTCTGAAAGTGAGGAGAGAAAGAGGGAGGCTGAAAGGGAGTCTAAGATGAAAGCCACACACTCTTAGAACTTGATCTTGGAAGTGACACCTTGTCACTTTGGCACTTGATTTGGAGGTGACACCTTGTCACTTTTGCTACATGCTATTGGTTGTTCAAGTCAAATCTGGCACCATGTGGATAAGGATTGCAGGAAGGTGTTAATAGCAGGTGTCAATTGGCCATCTTGGAAGCTAGACTATCACCAGAAGCTCTTCCAAAGGAGGTGGCTTATGAGCTGCATAGAATTTTGTCGTAAGGACAAAGGAGAAAGTGTGAACAAATACATAGGTACAGCAGGTGTTGAGGAATAGGGTGTGTTGTGTTGAGTGTTGTCTCAAGGGCATGTTGAGTTTGAGTTTGGGTGATGAAATTGAAATCAGATCATTTCAGGTGGTGCAACTCGATGGTAAGCCTTATAGATATTATTCTGTAGGCAATGGGGCAATCATATTAGGACTTTTGCAGAATTATTTAAGGAATATCAGTTTCATGATAGTAGAGGTAGTGATAGAAGACAGAACGTCAGTAATGCAAGTTGAGATCTACTTATAGATTCAACTGTGGTAGAGATTGAGGAAATGGGGAAGACATGAGGCTCTGCAGAGGCATTGGAAGGATGATACTGATAGAACCTTGCAAACTATTGGAGAGAGGCCAAGACAATGAATAACCATACAAGGTTGCAGTTATGGGTGGAGTTGTCCAGTTAAGAAAAGGGAGAGAGTTCAGAGGTAGGTGAAGGTCAGTATTATTAGTATTATTAGATGCAGTATTATTAGATGCTTGTCAAAAAAAAAAAAAGGAGTAAATTAAGCTTGTAAAACACTTTAAAACAGGTATATAGAAAGTGTTGAAGGCAGCCCTGACATTACTTATCTTTGGCCCATCCTTGTCTTTCTCCTTCATAGTCTAAAATGTTTTACAAAGGACTGTTTCTCATGACACTGAGAATGAACCCCAAATTCCTTTCACTGACCTATTCCACTTTTATACAGTAAGCCTCTTACTCACTTCTCCAGCTTCATCCCAGGCCATCCTCTTCTCACTGCACTGCTGTCCCAGTCCTCTTTCGGTTTTGTGATCTAACTGAGCGGGTACAGTGTTAGGACATTTTTGTGTGCCACTTCCTCTGGCCAGAACACCCTGTCCTGTTCCCATTTAAAGTGGGTTCCACCCTTGGTTGTGTTCTTATTCAACCCATTATTTACTTTCTTCTCTGAGCTCACCTGATCTTGAAGGCTTTTTTATTCTTTGTCTTATTATAGATATGTGTGGAGGATCCAGAGAGTTAGTGAATTTTTCTCCGCATTCTGTAAACATGTGTATTGCATGAATCTGGAATAGATCAGCACTCACTGGGTATTTATGAAAGAAATGAGTAGTTGTAAGACACTGTAGATTTTCACTGGATGAATGAGGAAATCAAATGTTGCCTGGTAAAAACAGGTGTTAAGTCAGCTATCACAGTTTTCTGAGACATGCAGCCAAGCCAGAGAGACTCTGAGGGAAGGCCGTCTTTCATTGTATAATCAACCCACTGTAGAGGAAAGTTCCTCTCTCACCTAAGGGAACGTGGATCTTCCTTGATTGTTCACTTTGTTATTTCTAAATTAGCACGATTTACCAAAAATGTTTGGGTCACTCAGTACATGCATGTGATTTATTTCTAAATGGCTATCTTTAAAAAAATCTTCCTCATCTGTATTAATGTCCCTAGAGTTTTTACATTTTTTAGCCTGTATTTCATTAAAGATGATGTCATGGAAAATTTTTGTCAAATTTCTCATTCTGGTCCGTGCCTGGAAGATTGAGAGTGATGCAGTGTAAGAAAGTTCAGGATTTTGAAGTTTAATCATTTACATTCTAACACTAAAGCTATAAATCTGCGGTGCAGTATTGCTTACTTCTGCTGCTCACTGGATGGATAAGTCTATGTGCTTTTTAAATTTCTTATAAAGATTTGGCTCAAAACTAGCAGTGTGGTCAATAAATTAATTTCTTGAGAGTTTATCAGAATTGTGAGATGATTTGGGAGGAGCAGAATTGTGTAAAATCAATTCTCTATTTTTAAACTTATTCTTCTAAAATTCTAAACAGAAAATTTTTTATTCATTAATATTTTCTTGATTTCATAATGCTAAAAATTAAGTAACATGAATGTTGTGTTAAGAAATGGGAGCAAATCCAAGACAAAAAATCAGATGATTTATTAAATTTGCAACTTAAAAAAAAACAGTTTGAAAGATTGCTCTGTTTGGGGAAAGGACATAAAATTTTGTTGAGATAACTTAGGGTATAAATCAAGGTCATTTATGTTCATTTGAACATTCATACTCACATCTGGAAATACCCAGAATGACCACACTAAATCCTGCAGGTAAATTCTTTTCTCAGCTGAGCATGCCATATTGTTGTAGTTAATCAAGAAATCTACCAAAATTAAATTTGTCCTCCTACTTTTTAGCTTAGAAATTTAGGGGATCACTGGGACTCAAAAGAAAATTCAGTAAATAATGGACCATCCTAGGGATACTTCTTTTTAACTTAAAAATCCCTCTGAGATATCCTCAGGTTTTAAAAATAGCTTTTTATTTTCCTCTTTTTGTGTGTGTTTGTGTAGGCCTACATGTTCATATTAGTCATCAGTGTTGCCAGAACCTTGGCTAGCGTCATAGTCCAGACCTCTTGAGGTCACTGGGGGGTTGGCTACAGTTTTCACCTCTTGCTTTTCATGGGCCCCACTCTGAGAAAGATGCTTCTTCTCTCTCTCCTCTTTCAAAGTCATCTTTGAGGACATCTTCTGAAGCTTTTTCTGAGATGCTGCCTCTTCTGAGCACAACACTGTCTATTCTTGTATCACCAGTATAGGAGCTCATGCAATTTATAAGTACTTGCCTTAATGATGCGCTCCCTGAAAGACCTTGAGGAGAGGGATCAGGTGGCATTCATCTTTAGGATCCCTTCCCTGTCCTCACAGCACATTCATGGTCCACGTTCAGCAAACTTTTGTACAATGACATGACTTAGGGTTTCTAGACAATCCGTATTGTAATTTATGTTGATACAAAGGGATAATGTTAGCATCAAATGAAAAGTCAGAGTTCTATCAATGCCATCTTGATGAAAATATTTATATCATTATATCTAATGTCCTAGGTTTCTTCTTGACTGACTACCCAGGGCGAGTTGGAATTGCTGTATGCCTCTCTCTGAACCCCCAAATCTTTAGTTGTAATGATGAACTTACATGGAGAGGCTTATTTGAAACATCATTATAGTGTGGATGATAACCTTCTTAGTTTCCACATCTGATATTCCTCCAAAGGTGTGTATGTTTTGACTAATGTATTCTCTTTATGCTAAGCTTTCTTTAAAGTGATATGAATGCTCCATAATGTTGTTATTTTTGTTTGTTTGTTTGTTTTTTTGAGACAGGGCTTCATTCTGTTACCCAGGGTGGAGTGCAGTGGCGTAACCAGAGCTCACTGCAGCCTCTGCTCCCGGACTCAAGCAATCCTCACACCTTAGCCTCCGGAGTAGCTGGGACTACAGGCGTGCACCACCACACCTGGCTAATTTTTGTATTTTTTGTAGAGACAGAGTTTTGTCATGTTGCCCAGGCTGGTCTTAAACTCCTGAGCTGAAGGAATCCTCCCTCTTCAGCCTCCCAAAGTGCTAGGATTACAGGCATGAGCCACCATGCCGGGTCCCATAACTGTTAGTTTAATTAGCACCTTTCTGCTTTAATTCATGTTGACTATCGAGAAAATCTATCCCCCCATATAATTAGTGTTTTTAAAAGATGCTTTTAGTGATCAAAAACTTATTTATTAAGTAGAATGTAAATTATTACAAATGATATGAATACCATAGGTTGTAGTTTTTATATGACAACTTAGATTATAAAATACAATTCTAGCCAGGCACATTGGCTCATGCCTGTAATCCCAGCACTTTGGGAGGCCCAGCAGGAGCCAATCGCTTGCTTCCAGGAGTTCAAGAGCAACTGGGGCAACATAGTGAGACTCCGTCTCTATAAAAAATACAAAAAAAAAAAAAAAAGTTGAGCATGGTGGTGCATGCCTGTAGTCCCAGCTATTCAGGAGGCTGAGGTGGGAGGATTGCTTGAGCTGAGGAGGTTGAGGCTGCAGTGATCCAAGGTTGCACCATTGCACTCCAGTCTAGGCAACAGATAAATTTGAGTACAAATGGCTGATCATCTTAATATTAATATGAAATTGCATTTTTTGATACAGGATCTCGTTCTGTCTTGTGGCCTTCTGTAATAGGTTATCTTGTCCAAATTCTGGAGTAAAGCCCAGAAGAAGTTTAATCTAGATAATTTATTCTTTAACCTTTGAAATACTGTATCAGCTACATGACAATGGCTTATAACTGAGCTCTAAATAAATGAAATAACTTTTGCGAGAGTGAATCACGTCACTGAGAACCAAGGGGAAACATGAAGAAGTGATTATTATTATTATTATTATATTTTTTTTAGGACGGAGTTTCGCTGTTGTTGCCCAGGCTGGAGGGCAATGGCCTGATCTCGGCTAACCACAGCCTCCACCTCCTGGGTTCAAGCGATTCTCCTGGCCTGCAGGGGGCCGGTCCCAAGTAGCTGGGATTACAGGCGTGCACCACCATGCCCGGCTAATTTTTGTATTTTTAGTAGAGACGGGGTTTCTCCCTGTTGATCAGGCTGGTCTCGAACTCCTGACCTCAGGTCATCTGACCCCCCTCGGCCTCCCAAAGTGCTGGGATTACAGGCATGAGCCACCGAGCCCGACCTGAAGTGATTGTTTGAACAGAGAGTGTTAACGGTCTGCATTCTGCCTTGCACCCAAATGGCATCACCTATGGCAGTGATAAAAAGCCCCAGCCTTTCTCTCCCTCCTCAATCCTTGGGATTTCCACCAACAACAAAAGAGAAGCCAGGAAGAATGCTGTGTTGTGAGTACCCCCAGGAAGGGTTTTCCTTTATGAAGAGGCAAACCTAGTTAGGAAATACATAACCATGGACTGCAGGAAAGAGAGTGGAGTCTGCATGGAGGATAGTGACCAGGGACCCATAAGAGGAGCGGTAGTGACTGAGACCTGCAGGATGCATGGAAACATTCTTGACACCGAGGGCAGCAACTGTGAACACACTCCTCCTACTCCTCCTAGGCAGAACTAGGATGGATGAACAGAGTTCTTTTCAGGGAGACTCACTAGGTAGATGACTACGCATGAAACGCTTTTTTTGTTTGTTTGTTTTTGTTTTTGAGACAGAGTCTCACTCTGTTGCCCAGGCTGGAGTACAGTGGCACCATCTCTGCTCACTGCAAGCTCCGCCTCCCGGGTTCACGCCATTCTCCTGCCTCAGCCTCCAGAGCAGCTGGGACTACAGGCGTCCGCCACCACGCCCGGCTAATTTTTTGTATTTTTTAGTAGAGACGGGGTTTCACCATTTTAGCCAGTATGGTCTCGATCTCCTGACCTTGTGATCCACCTGCCTCGGCCTCCCAAAATGCTGAGATTACAGGCATGAGCCACCGCACCTGGCGAAACACTTTCAATGGGAATATTTTGTTCCATCAGATTTTAGCAATATCACATTTGAAAATAGGGGACGCACACACAGATACAATTAGTTTCACCGCCTCACTTGTGTATCTAAACAAACCTGTAAACAAAACCAAGCAAACCAAGAAACAAATAAAACCTCAAATCTAATATAATAATAATAGGCTGGGGGCAGTGGCTCATGGCTATTATTAATCTCAGCACTCCGATAGGCTAATACAGAAGAATTGCTTGAGCCCAGAGTTCGAGACCAGCCTAGGCAACACAGTGACATCCTATCTCTATAAAGATTATTTTAAAAATTAGCCAGGTTTAGAGGCATCCACCTGTAGTCCCAGGTACTTGGGAGGCTGAGGCAGCGGGATCACTTGAGCCTAGGAATCTGAGATTACAGCTAGCTATGATCGTGCCATTGTATTCTAGCCTGGGTAAAACAGCAAGGTCTGTCTCCAAAGTAAATAAATAAGTAAAATAATAATAATAATTTTTACTCTATCACAAAAAGTACAGCCAGTCAGATACAGTGCACACTAATTATTGTAAAAATTTTCTGAAATACACATACATCATTAACTTGATAACTGTAAATTTAACACTGATTGGTGGGTGTGAACAAAGGTATGATCAAGGAAAATAAATATATAGGCAGTTTCACAGTCTTAATAATACAATTTCAAGAGCTAATATTAATTGAGCATTTACTGTATGCACACTCATGCATTATGGGACTGTCTTTGGCACTAATATCACAAAACTTCATTTTTTTTTCCACTGGTAATTTTTGTCACTGATGAAAACTGTTTCAGCTATAGATCCCCACAGTGCGGAGATTGCGGGATGTGGGAGAAAAATGATGGTCTCGATCCCCCACCGAGCCATTGTCCCATGGTGGGTGAAAGCCAAACAATGCAGCTTGAGTTCTGCCTCCACTTTTACAGCTCTGTGGTGTTGGGCAAGTTAGCTAATATGTCCCTGCATTAGTGCTCTCAACTAATGGGGATAAAGCTCACATATACCTTATATGTTTTTGGAGACAATTAAGAGTTAGTATATGTAAAGAATTCAGCAAGTGAGTTGCTGACCTACTATGTACATATTAGCTATTATAACTTATTATTCGGACAAACAGCTAATGCACGTGGAGCTTAATACCTAGGTGATGGGTTGATAGGTGCAGCAAACCACCATGGCACACGTTTACCTATGTAAGCAACCTGCACATTCTGGACGTGTATCCTGGAACTTAAAGTAAAATAAAAATAAAATAAAAAAACTATTATTATTACTATTATTAGAATTGTTTGGATGAAGAGGTAGCTTGATATTTTGAAAAAATGCATGGTCTTTGGAGTCAAGATAGGTCTTACTCCCTGCTTCAGTGAGCTGCGTTACTTAACACATGGATATCAATTTTTTCCCAATGTAAAATAAGATGTCATAATAACTCCTGCCCTTGGCTGTAGAAGGGTCAGTGAAGATGAATGTAATTATGATTGTTGTTAAATATAAAGTCATTTTTACAAATACAGTTTCATCAACAATATTTATGATAACACCTATTAATAACAAAATGTGCTAGGTGTTACGAGAAATCAAAAACATAGTTAAAATATGATCTTGTCTTCCTGCAATTTAATAATGTGCTGGCTCATTAGCTGTGAAACCCAAAGGCCTTATCTACTTTGTATTAATATTTTTTCAAGCGTGGAAGTAAGCCCAGAAGGGTATTGAGTGATAGCTTCTCTTCTTCCCTTATCGTCTTTCCTATAGATGCAAAATCCTGAGTGTGAAAGGCCACGTAGTACTCTGTTAGATATCTTGCAGGTGTTACTTATCAATGGTTCTTGCTTAAAAGTAAAATGAGAAGTGTCGCATGAGACTCATCCTATAAACAGAGCATTCTGGGTGAGATGGCAAGAAAAACTCCAAACAGTCCTGAAATGATAACCGATCCAGTGGAGATGATATATCTATTCAGTTGATGCAAACATAATTGCGGTTTATACCCTTGAATGTAAGGCAAAAACCGCAATTACGTTTGCACCAACCTAATATATACATATATCTTTTGGAGACAGGGTCTTGCTCTGTCGCCCAGGCTGGAGTGCAGTGGTGCGATCATAGCTCACTGCAGCCTCAACCTCCCAGGCTCAAGTGATCCTCTCATCTCAGCCTCCTGAGTCCGCTGAGACTATAGACACATGCCGCCACACCCAGCTGATTTTGTGATAAGTTTTCTTGCAGTAGAGTCAATGGCAGTGTTGTTCTGACCTTCTGCCACAGCAAAACATCTCTGCAGGTTGAGGATTAGTTCTTGCAAATAAGTGACTTCTAAATTATTGATTGGTTCTTTTCACACATTTTGCAGATTTCTTTTATTAAACAAGTTATATCTAATAGAAAAATACACTGAGTTGATGATCCCCAACAAAACTTTAATGCCACCCAGATTAATGCCAACCAGATTATGAGTTGCCCATTGGAGGCCTCAAGGAGTCTTCATTGATTTTGTATTCTCAAATTGCATGTGTGTGCTAAAATGGTTGCATAGAGATTCCACATGAAGCCATACATGTGTGTAGGTGCTCCCACTAGACTAGTTCCTTGACTTATTAGGGAACAAGTGAAGAATTACTTCATGTCATGACCAGCTAGTTCTTGTAACTACCCATAAGAAAGCTCATAAGGAATGTCACATTGGTTCTGAAACAATATCATCTCTTTTACTGATGGAGAGTGGTATGTTTTTCTTTT